GTTTGTCTTAATGAGGCAAACCGTTTTCCCTTGGAGCCCCCAATGTAAACAAATTTTCTCAGAAGGGGCATCCTATCAAAAAGACGTGCCCAGTTGAGCGGCCATCATTGGCCGCCCCTCCGGGTCCGACTCAGGACAGGCGAATGATTGCTGCCCTGGTTGCTCAAAGACTATGTTAAGCAATCCACGGCAGACCAGTTCTTCACTGGCTCGCCGGTGGTCCATATACTTCCTTGTGAGAGGGTGGGTTTAGCATTGCTTGCAAAGGCCTCCCCTTTTTGCTTGGTGGGCCCCTACTAAAAGCAGAGCCCGCAACAAGTTCCTTGGTTCTAGCGTCACTGGTTGCAACCGTCCCCTTCATTTGGAACCGGCGGTGCTGGCCCAGCGGAGCTTGCGAGGCTTACTCTCCATGCGCGGGGCGCTGAGCACTTTCGAGGAACTTTGGACTGGTTGGTCCTAGCGCCGGACCACTTTTGAAGGTTGTTTTTCCGGGTTTCCCAGCAAATTCCCCGGACCGGAGCCAGCTTGGCAAGTCCCAATCGCACTTGGAGGTTCGGAGTTTCATTTGTGCCTTTTCACGGCTTGGCTGGGTCAAGCTCGTACATCTGGAATCAACACTGAGGCTGCTGCATTTCGGGCTGGTACAAGTTCGAGTGTTTGTTTCTAGGCGCGGTGGGGGGTCCACGCGGGGGAGGGGCAGACAGCCGCTTTCCCGGAGCCAAAGGAAGCAACTTCTGGGCAGAACACCCGCTCCCTGCGATGTACGGCGCGGCCACCAAGTTGTTGTCCCAGTCGGGGTTGGGGATACGCAAACCATCTGGGTGCCATCTTCCCTTTTGGCCCTGTATTAAAATGATTGCAAAGGTGACCTTAGGTTGGGGTTGAACATTGACCAAGGTTCATGGGAACTTTTTTGGGTGGGGTTGTGTGTTTGAAGGGAAGCCAATTTGGCAGTACCCGCATTCTTTCTAGGCATTTGCCTTTTCGGGTAGCGCCCACCGGGAACCTTGGCGAATGAGTGTAGTACTGAAGTACTGTACCAAGAAATTGTCAAACTTGATCCACTTGATGCATCTCAATGTCATAACTTCGTCCAAAACCATCCCGGGAAACGATGTAAGAGCTGCCGCCGCAGGTGCGGCTCTTCTGTGCAAAGCGGCGGCTGTCAGCTTCCCTGCTGTTCTGTGGGTGTGGGACCTGGCAGCTGTTCTTCCAGCAAAAATGGGGCGCTTTCATGGCCCGGAGGAAGCAAGACCAACAAAGCTGCCTGGGAAACTGGGAAGGCCGCAATCAACAAAACAAGAATCGCCAAACTTGTGGATACCGGGCGGGCAAGATTCGCCAGGATGAGGTTGCCATGGATCGCTTCCTGAGGGTCTTGTTGTAAGTCCTGCGAAAGCCGCGTGACGTTGGCACGTGAGCGATCCACCAAAACACTCCGCCTCAGGGACGTGCATTCGGGCGGAATAGGGCGAACACCGTGAGAAGCGACGGCAACCGTTGGACACAAAGTGTGTGACAATGCGAGAATCCCGGAAAAACGAAGGCGACAAAGCCTCCAGAGATATTCCATTTCTTTCAACTGGGCGATGTTTGCGCTCAGGTCGCAACATTTGAAGGCGACCATGCAAAAGTCATCCATGCAGAAACAACCCGTCTGCCCTGAAAGTAACGTAAGGGAACTCAACAACCCCTGTTTTACCAGGAAACTCTTTCATGTTCCCTTTTCGGGTTCCGGTGCAAGTCCACCGCCATGCTGCCAGATTGGCATTTGGTTCGCGCGAATTGGAACGAGCTCACGCAGGCGTAAAGCGAGCGCACTCATGTTGAGAGTTTTGTAGGGGATTCCTTACTTCCGGCATGTGTGTGTGTGTGTGTCATGTGTGACTTATGGTGCTGAGGCTCTTGATGTGGTGCTCGCAGAGAAGGTGTCGGCACGGCCCCTGGCGATGAGCGTAGCAGGGCTAGGCGGGTTTTCCTGATTCGTCCTCTGCTGGCTTCTCATAGTTCGTACATGGCTCTATGTGAAATGGGTTTCTACAAGCCGGGGCCAAGATTCAAATTCGCAAGACGGCGCTCAGGTCAAGTTGGTTACGAGGGGCTGGTAGCTTGGGGGTCGCCCATTATTTAGGGTATCGATGTAGTCGTTGGCTCTCTGGGGTAGTGTGAGCTCACCCTGAAGGAGCCAGTAAAACTTTCTGGCTGGTTGGCTGAAGACAAATTTGCAAAGCCCTTTCACAGGAGCCCAACAATATGTTTGTTGAAATAGATTGGTTGCATGGGAATCCCATGGACATGGCGATGGAACACAAACATGTTTTGCCCCTTTTGGCGAGGTCCCCACGAAAAGAATCGAGCGATCAAAAAGGATTCCGCTGATTTGCCTTTTTCGGGCCATCGAAGCTGCAAAAGGTGGCCGACCCTTTGCTCAGAAGGGCTTGGGGCAACCCCAGAAATGGGCGGCGAATGGTGCCGTCTCTCCGCTTCGTGCTGTGAGGTCATGTCAGCTGCAGGCCGGAGCACTGCCGGGTGCCAACCTTTCTAACTTGTTGCCGTTTTGGTTTTCCATCCTTATCCCTTGGGTATCCCTTTCAACCGGCAATTGTTTTCTTTCTGCAGGGGGTTCACGTGAGGTCAAGCCTTTCGAGTAGGATTGAACCCCAAGGCTGCCCGGCTCCTTGGCTCCAGTTCCCCACCAAACATCCGAAGTTCACGGATTCTCTAAACTGCACCGTGGGGTAAGGAGTACGCCAACTCGCAGCAAGAGCACTGTTGTTTGTAGCACAGGTCTGCTCTTATTATACCATCTGATCAAGGAGTACTCTATTTCCAACAGTCACAGAAGCTGACAGAAGGGTCTTGGAAGACTGCATGCCTGTTGAAAAGCCCTCCCCGTTCACTTTTGCGATTGGAAAGAGGGTACTTGAAGGACCTCCCCTACATCTGCAAGTTTGGCATGAACATGCACGTAGATTTCTCCCAAAGGGTTGTTCAAAGTCGTTTCCCTGCGGCGTGCTTGGGGCGACTCCAGACGCATGACAGAATCTTCAAGTGCCAATGGCAAACCGTGTGCTAGTTGAAGCAAAACAAACACCACGGGACTGGCAACCGACAAAACAAGGCCAGCACACCCTTGAGCACAGTTATCGTGGAGCCCAGAAAGCCAACAAAGTGAGCTCACTAATGTCAGGATCGGGAGAGGCATCCTTTTGGCTTGCTACTGGAAAATACCTCTTGGGTGCTAGACTTAGATTTCTGTTCTCGAATTTCCTTCATTTTGGCTTGACCAAGCTAGCTGCTTGCAGGGGATCCGTTTGGCAGGGGCGGCTGTGCGGCAGCTTTGGCGCTTGCCACTCGCCATCGCCGTCGCTGGGGCCACGAACGTCTGCCCATGGTGATGGTGAACCAGTGGGAAACAATGGTGACGCATGTGCCGGAACCCCCATTCAATACCCAGCACTGTTGTAAGTAAATGTTGAAACGACCCATCGTTCAGACAGAGCAAGGTTTGCTTGTTCAAGCCCAACCTTTCCCCTTTCCTGACTCGGGCGCATCCCGCGGCAACACAAGTGGTGGGCAAAGCACAGTCATCCACAACATCGCATTGCTCACTTTCCGCGTTTCTTCTACAGAACCCACTTTTCATTCAACCTCCCTAGGGAGGGCGGCTTCGACTTCAAGCCAACCGGGTCAAAGGAATGGGCACCCCGGATCGACAAACGCAGCCTGGTGAGGTCTTCAAGACGATGCAGATCTCCAAAGGGGCATCACTTCAAATCAATCAGGGATTTAAATATTGTATTTGTTAAACTCATATTTTCATACATCCCTTAAATTGACATGCAACGCAAAGAGGCACCATTACGCGTTGTAGGGAATCTCCTTTGGGGGAAAGGAGTGCTTCTGTGTCAGGGCCCCGCGAGATTAACCCGGCCGGTCCCAATTCAGATGGAAACCAAAAGGATGTTGTTTAAAGAGCACTAGTTCAATCGTGCAAGCCTTGGGTTTGGGCTACCCCAAGGTCTTCGCCAGAGGTTCCCGCACTTCCAGCTTGGTACATCGTAATTTGACACGAGTCTCAACAGGGAACCCCTGAATAACGCTGTTGCATCCAAGTAACCTTTAGATCAGTGGACTCTAGAGGTCATCGATTCCCTATGTGGGGGCCCAAGGCCTTTGCTGCAGTCTTGGCGGCTGAGTCGGCGCCTGCCGACGCCGCAGACTCAGTGCTGGGTTTCCCGCATCTTCTCTTGCCAGCAAGAGAGAACTTTGAACTTTTTGCAAAATGGGTCTAAGTTTGGTCAAGTCCCAATTTGGAAAATCATCCCCTTTACTTTCCCATAAAGGGTGAGCAGGTGGGGTAAAACGAGTCCGGGCCGAGAGCATCTCTTGACAGGGTAAAGAGCTCATGTTGCGGATAGGGCTGCAGAACGGGTCCATCCCTCATTTTGGCACACATCCCAGGCCCGGCGACCCAAGATGGTTGCCTGGAGAGACCTCAAAAAGGCATGGGCGCCAGCACTATTAATTCTTCGGGTTGGCCCGTGTGCCAGTTTGGGCGCCAAATCACCTACCATGGCCTACTTTTGCTACTTTTACTACTTTAAAAGGGTTGCCGTCTTTGTTTCCAGACCGCCTTGCTGCATACGGCATGGCCACCCTTGGCCAGAAGAACCTTCAATTGCAAGTGCCAGTGGAGGGGTAGCCCCTGCCTGCAGTTCAGCTGGTTCCATTTATCCATGGCTAAGGAGCTGTGACCCATTGATTGTGTTTGCCATATGTGCAAGAGTTTGAGCCTCAGGCAAGGCTGCTGAACTGGAGCGAGACCGTGTCAGCCTGGCATTTTGACGAGAGAGCTCAGTCGGCTGACCTTTTGCAGTCCTGTGATAGACGGCGCAGGTTCTTCCCATTGTAGTCATCACGCCATTTACTTTCACACTTTTGGGCAACCCTTCCTGGGCCATTGCTTCGGCCTGGCGACATGGTCTAGGCCACTTTGTGGCGGATGCGAAGCAAACACTACCCTGTGGAGCCCCAAAACTCATCGTTTGTAGGGGAATCTCTTTCTTTTTGGGGTTCCATGTCACCTGCCGCGAGAGCGTGAGCCGGCATGAGAGAAACAATGGAGCAACACAAAAATTGGAGCAGATGGAGAGCTGAAAAAGGCAAGCATTGGAAGAACGGCAACGATGTTCAATCGAGTAGACTCAGTCACACATAGAAGCAGGAAGAGGGCGAACAAAGGAGAGAGACAGGCGAACAAGAAACACATAGAAAGAAAGAGAGAGAGAGAGAAAGAACGAAAGAAAGAAAGAAAGAATGAAAGAAAGAAAGATCGAAATAAAGAAAGAACCGAAATAATAAATAAAAAAGCAAAGAAATACAGAAATACAGAAAGAACAAACGAACAAAAGAGAGGACTAAAACACAAAAAGCAAGAAACAATCAAATAATGACAGAACGAAATGAACACAGAAAGCAACACACAAAATTAAGAAAACATAAGTAAAAAACAGTCAGAAATCAACCAGGAAATCAATACATAAAGATAATACAGAAAGAGCAGACAAACTATTTACATATATAAATACTTCAAACAGCAATAACGATATCAAGAAATAACGGAAGGGAGCATAGTACGACAGACAGAGACAGACAGACAGACAGAGACAGAGAGACAGAGAGACAGAGAGACAGAGAGACAGAGAGACAGAGAGACAGACAGACAGACAGACAGGCAGGCAGGCAGGCAGGCAGGCAGCCAGACAGACAGACAGACAGGCAGGCAGGCAGACAGACAGACAGACAGACAGACAGACAGACAGACAGACACAGACAGACAGACAGACACAGACAGACACAGACAGACACAGACAGACACATACAGACACAGACAGACACAGACAGACACAGACAGACACACACACGCACACAGACACACACAGACACACACAGACACACACAGACACACAGACACGCAGAACCAGCCAAGTGATGAGCAAACCAATTTTGCAGGATACAAGCCAAGGCACTCAGACGGTCAACAATAGCACAGCAAGAGGTAAAGGGGAGGAGGGAAGGCAAGGAAAGGGAAAGGCAAATCAAGGAAGCAACGAAGGAGGCATCAGGAGGCACGGAAAAGCCAGGAAATCCACGGGACGTGTCCTGTCAGCAGACACTGACTCTTCCGTTTTGGGAGGCAGTAACGCTTTGAACTGCTGCAAGGCTGCCCAAAACCCCGTGGCCGCTGCAACAGTTGCCTCTCGGCAGAGGCTCCGCGCGTGCTTCGCGCCCTGCTTCTACCTCTGGCGCACGCTGGCGCTCAACCCAGCGCCCAACAGGGGCAGGGCAGGGAAATCCGTGAAGAAGGGACCAGGTTTTGTATATGCCAGGCCTCTCTTTCCAGCTACCATGATAGTAGGCAATTAACCAGGGGAACCATGAATCATGTCAAGCCTAGAGGCAAAATATTTTGTTTTGGCATCCCGACCCTTTGAGAAAATGATGCGTTGGGGTGTTACACCCTCCCCTGGTTGACTGCAGCCCATTTTCCTTTTTTGCTGCGGCAGCGCTGCTGACTGTGCTCTGGCCGTGCTCTCTCTCTCTCTCTCTTTTTCTCTCTGGTTGCTTTAGCAACCTCGCTCATGACCCTTCTGAAAGATTGTGGGAATCCGAGAAACGGGTGCCACAAAAGAAGAGTCGGCCACAACAAGGTCCTTTCAAGCTTTATGCAAGGTGGCTATAAAGATTTTGTCTCGAGCTGGTTAGCTTCAGGTAGGCCAAGTCTGCTGCTTTGCTTGGGCAAGGGGGCGTGTTGTTTGTATGATGAGTTCTGCATGGGACGGTGTGCTCCGGGCCAGCCATCATCTGAGGCATGTGACCAGGGAAGTGGATGCCAACCAGGGTTTAGGCACCGGAAATGCCCCTGCACTGCTTCATGAGCTGCATGTTCAGGTGTTCTGGCCGTGGACGACGCCCGGGACCTCGAATTCAAATGGCAGTGCTTGTGCGCATGCAAAAGTGCAGAGTAGATACTCATAAGTGCAAGCTAGGCAAAAGCAAGGCGCTCCCCCCCTCCCCCTCGCAACCTGCTAACTGACGTGCATTCAAAGACGGAAAGCTCAAAGCCAGCAGGTCCTGCATGTATCTGTGATTAAATTTAGAGATCGATGTCACAAACGTTGCCGCCATCAACCTGCAGAGTTCCGTTGTTCGGGGCTTACCTTGTGTGCTGGCGCAGGTAGGGTAACCCAGGTGCTGCTTGGTCAGACCTGAGACGTTTGTATAACTGTGTGTCGCCGTGTGCACGTTGCAAGTTTCCCATGCTCAGCGGCAAAGAGCTGAACGACCACTGGGCAGCGTCTCGTGAACTCCAACTCAACTTGTTCGGAGCGTGAAATTGGCCCATTCACCAGGGCTTGTTCTCGCGTTTGTAGCTTCAGACCACGTTTGGCCAACAGAACGTGAGCCATCCAGGCTCAGCCATGGCAATGGTTGCTGCAGATTGCGGCCCCTGTTTTCAAAGACAATGGTTGATGTCTTGGGGCTTGACTGGTGTAGTTTGCAAGTTCAGAATCGTTGAAAGGGGCAAGACATGTCGTAGTTCAAGGAAGCATGTCGTTGGCTTGAGGTAGCGACATATAGCATTGCGGCTGCAGAGGTGTTGCCGATGAATGTGGTCGCAACGTTTGGCCTAAAGAGTTCATACCAAGAACTTGGGAAGTCGTACGAGACCCTCTTAGACCCTCTTGAAGTCGTACGAGACTCGTGTTCCCTTTGTCTCGTTTTCAACTTGGCGCAACTCGCGCCATGCCTCGAGGCCTCGGTGGGCGGTTCCCGACGGCATGGCGCTGGCACCTCGGCCGCAGCCGCTGCGTCAGATCTGCTGGGATCTGTTTGGAGTACGTGGGGTGCAAAGGTCCCCAGGTCCCCCAGTTGTGCCCTTTCTCACCCCTTTTTTGGTTGGGAGGGTTCCCCTACCAACATAGACTGCAGAACAAAGTTGGTACCCTTATTCTATCCTGACCTAGGTCCTTTATATGGGAAACCACCAAATTTCGATGACTTTGACCACAAAAAGTCAAAGTCGAGGTCTGGTTGTCTGAAGGTGGTGTTTTCCCCATTGTTTGGAGGGGTCTACCAACTAAACGGAACTTACAAGTTCAGGTTCACTACACGTGGGTTAAAATCAATCATATGATGTTTGGTTGGAGGCAAAAGCCTAGCAATTCGCCAACATCTGGCTTGCTTTTGAACCACATGTCACTGGGTGCTTGGTAATTGTCATTTGTCGTGGTTCCCACTCGACCCCAGTTTCCAAATCGTGTTTGTTTGGCGTTTGCCCACCAAGACAAGGTCAACTCCAAAAGAGCTCCCTTTTTAGCCAGGTCACGGGCTTGGGGACTTGGGGCTTTCCGCATAGGGGTCACTGACATGGTGTTCCGTTTGGTTTTCCTTCAAGAGAACCTGCGACAATCCTCCAAAAGCGTATCCTTTTCCAACGACTTTGCAGACTACCACCTTTCAAGAGGCCCCAACTCCCGCCCCCTCCCAGACCGTTAAGGCAGGCTTCCCCGAGCGGAGATTTGCTTTGTTGAAGGTAAGCTGGTCCACAAATAAAGAGCAGGGCCTTCAATCCGTGCGAGGCTGAGCCGCGGTTTGCCTTCTCCGTGGCTTTCGTGTTTGCGGCAGCTCTGGCTCCGCTGGTCGGGGCCTGCAGATCGGGAGGGTGATGGGCGGTGGGCCAGTTTTAACAGCACCATTGCTAGCCGATGTGGAGGCGCTTTTTGTGGAATAGGTGGGTTTTGGGTGTATCCTAGGGACCTTGGCCATTTTGCAGGAAGAATTTCAGGGAACCTCCCTTTGAGCCTTGCAGCTGAGTGGCTTGCGACCTGCTACAAAATTCGGAACATTGGCAACTGGAACGGAGCCATTTAGAAGGCAACAAGATCCTCACTCCTCCGGATTTGAAAGAAACACTCGTAAGCAAAGACATTTCTAGGGGCCGTTGATGGTGGTTAGAGGGAACCCAGCGGGCAGCTGCGCTGGCATTTTTAAGGGTCCTGTTCAGGCTACGCCCATGCGTTAAAGATCCAACCAATTAGGATGACATGGTCGACACAGAACACAGGAGCAGAATCCCCGTGATGTTTTTGACCCAGGCTGGTGGTGTTGAAGGCGTTTCTTGTGCCCCTTCAAGGTGTGCTGGACACGTTCGGCGCACTGCCTCTGGTTTGCCCCATCCTCAGCTGGTCGGAAAAATCATCGCGCATCACCTTGGGAAGCAAACTCAACCCACCCATCCGCAGAGTTCAGAGCCGTCTTTGAATTGTTGTATATTGTTGTTCCTGGCCAAGGCTTGCCGGGGGTTCGCAAGTCAGCTGTCACGCTTGGGGATCCAGCCTCATGGCCCCAAACTATATGAGCGACCGATTGCTCATCAACTGATTGTATGTATGGATTCGCTCAGATTGCCCGAAAACGTCGAGGCTTGCCTGTAATACAGTCATCATGTGAAGCTGGCGCGCGGCCAAAACATCAGAGGGGGCTCGCATCTATCACGCTTTGGCATGCGAGCGACCTGTGAAGCTGCCGGGAAGTCGCGCTTCCCCAAGGGAAAGCTGCCGATTGAGCACGCCGTGCTCCAACTGTTGAATGTGCTCAAAGCCAAACCGGCGGACAAACCACCAGCCAGCCAGCCAGCTAGCAAGTCAGCCAGCCAGTCACCCAGCCAGATCGCAAACACAAACAAAACAAAGAAATAAGCAAGCGAGCAAGCAATCGAACAAGCAAACAACACAATCTGGCGAGCGAACACTCATACACACAAACATGCACACAAAGAAGCAGACAAGAAACCAGAAACCAAATTGCAAGCAACAAGTGCCATACAGCTTTATCGTTTAACTAAAAAACACAAGTTGCGACTTGAGCTGTTATGAACTTCAGCTGTGTCACAGGAGCTGCATGTGTCGCAGCAGGCAAGAAGAAAGGCTGTCGGGTCCCCTAGGCGACTTAGTAGGAGTTATTCGCCGCTTGGGGTGGCCATGACAGAGCTGAGCCTGTGAGTGCGCAGCTCGAAAGGCCTGGATATCCTACTTGGGCTTGCTCCTGCCGCCGCTGCCCCAAATCGGGAGGATGTGGGAGGTGCACCAAATGCGGGCGCCTGGCTTTTTGCATTTCCAACTGAGCTCCATGTCTTCTTCGGTCGGTTCCCGAACATCCCAATCGGTTTGCTTGGTCCGGCTCCGTATATCCTAGCCTTGCTTTGCTCGATATTTTCCTGGGATGTTTTAGATGAATTGAGGTAGAGGCGGCACTTAGAGGTTTATCTATGTACCTGTTGGGACGTACGGAAGAGCATTGCCATGGGACCTGGATTGCGGTGTTTCTGGGATACAGCTCAGTTCACAGGGATTTGGGTCAACTGCGGTTTGGATCAGCGGGAGTTTGGGTCAAAGTGGATTTGGGTCAAGCTAAGTTTCATTCAATTGAGCGAACGGCTTGATTTTCCTGCTGTGGCAGCATTGGGCAAGTCCTACAACAATCTAAAGCAAAAAGTAGATGCTTCATGCTTCAGTTGGTGCCTGCAAGTTCCCTGATGCGTAGCGGATATGTGGCATGAGGTGTGACACCACACGTGCAGTGCAACGCTGTGAGTTTAGAGGTTGGCTGTTTACAGCTGACGGGCTGAGTGTCTTACCATCGTCAAGCATCAAAGACTTGGCCATTTGGGCATCTCAGTTCACCATGGCTCAGTCTGAACGAAGGTCCGGGCTGGAAGTTCCTCCTTCAGTCCCATTTGGCCATGGGTCATAGCCTATGCCTCCATTTTGGGGCGGATGAACACCCATGCAGCACCTACTTTGATGTTCACCAGGGTTTTCCTGGGTTTTGACAACCACAGCCACTTGTGGCCGCGGGGTCCAGGAAGGCCTTCACAGGATTTGCAGATCGCGCTCCGACGCTCCGACTGAATCGCTTGGGCTCGCAGCGGCTTGGGCTCGAGCCCATGCCACCATGCCGCCGCTCAAGCAGCGCCCTGGCAGCTATTCGGGGTAGGGGCAGAAGCGACAATGGCTTGTGTGCCGGGTCTACCGAAAAGAAGGCACAAGGGGCAGTTGCAATTTTGAAGTCGGTGCCGGAACCCGGATTTTGGCGCAGTAGATCTCTCACCACTCGGGACATGTCAAAACGAGTTTCCGTTTGGGCAGTTTTCGTTTCAAGGGGGCATACAAGGGCAATGCTGGTGGGGAAGCCTTTGGTTTGCCAGAATAGTGAGCCTACGCCACTTATTCCAACAAACACGCGCACATGTCGTGTGCGCGCGGCTGCGTCCAGATTGGTTTGTTGACAGACCAAGCTGTTGAAGTCCTTTTCAGCTGCAGCCAGTCGTTTTCTTTGGTCTTCCTTCCTAGGCCTCGCCTGCTGCCTTTGAGAGTCGAATAGAATGTGGAGAACCAGTGAATATTGCTCGTCACGCCTGCTTTCCTCTAGATCCACCCGCGCCATCTATGCGTGTTTCAGTACCAGCGGCCGGCTCATGATTCTCCTATCTGATGCAGTTGTGGCATGTTACTAGGCCCTGAAAAGCAGACAATTCCGACATCAACTCCAACCATTTCGAAAATGGGTACCTGCTCAGCGGACTATTCTGCCAGTCATGCTACCGACGCATTGCATGCGGCAAGCTACAGGTAAAACTCGTTGCCCAGACGTTTTCCATCCCACCCCACGTCTGTCAAGGGCCCTTTTGATTTCGCCATGGTACGCTGAGTGGTGTATGACCGACCAGGGAGGCTGAATTTTCCAGATGGATCGTTTCCTTCGTTCAGCGAGGTATGAGCTAACGCTGCAGAATGCACAGCGGGTCCTGGCCAGTTTGCTGGAGCAGCCGACACGGCCCTGGGTGCCGTTTGATGCCCCTTGGCTGTCTCGGTTCCCATATCGTCAGTTTGGTTGCTCGGTGGGACCAAACAGGCTCAGTTTGGTTCTAATCATGTAGCAGTGCCATGGAATTGTCCAAGAGAGGAAAGGCTCAGCAGGAAAAGGGACATCGCTTCACCCCAAAAAAGAACACATTCGCCAGTGGTGAAGCCAGACTAGCGGCGGCCTCAGCACTGGTTGTTTTTTTCGCTGGGCCGAGGCGCTGCTGGGCAGCCTGGCCCAGCAGATACAAACGCTGCGCCGCTCCTCCGCCGCCCTGCGCCTGCAACGCGGCCTCCGCGCCGCGAAGTCCGCGAAAGCCGCGAAGGCCGCGAAGGCCGCGCGAGGCCGGCGGAAGTGGCGGTGAAACGAGGGCAACGCATGCGGCGACTTTTTCCCCAGCGAACCTTGGATTCCTCTGCCAGCGTTGGATTTGTTGGGGCCTCCTGATGGTTTGTCTTTTGTATTTGTGTTCCTTTGGATGTCACGCCCAAGCCCCAAGTCTCACCATGCTAGACCCAGGGTCGACTCGCAAAGAATCACCGAGGGCTCCGCGAGCCGCATTTTTTTTTTGGGGGGGGACCCTATCATGTTGGTTTCCTTATGGCTTCCCAGGCGAGTCAAAACTTGGGGTGGTGCTGGCCTGGGTTTGAGGTTCCTTCATTCAAGGTGATCTTGGTCATGTTCGGGATCTCTCTTGAAATGATGTTACATCTTCAGGTACGCCCACTTGGGCGAAATGGCATACAAACGCCAACCTCTCCAGACATGCAGGCGAACACCAGCAGATGGCAGTGGTGGGTGTCGATTTGCCACTGAGTGTCAGCGCGTGTGTTTTTTTTGTTCTGTTGGTGTTTTGCTAAGTGGCTGCGTGGTTGCAGTAGCACGCTGATTGACAAAAATGGCCGGCACCACTCAGAAGTTCTGTGGGGAAATGACGGAACTTGGCTGTCATGGCGGTATTTCGCGGCGGTTGCTTTGTTGGAATCCAGCAGATGTTCAGCTGCTCAGATATCAATTATGCTGCCCAGGATTTCGGCAAGTTTTCTCGCTGGAGGCTCCAGGCATGAGTGCTCCCCCCAAGAGCCGCAAAACATGACCTACACGTGTGACATGTATTGTGACAGGAGTCCCTCAGATTTCACATGTTGGAGCTCCAAACTCCAAACGGGATAGTAAAATCATGGGTGCAGTAAGTTGGGGCTCGTGGAAGTCCAGTGCAGGTTCTGGGCAGGTGCAATCTTGCCTTTTCAAAGAAGCAACACGCCATCTTCAGGCTTGGCCTCAAAACCCGGACCTGGGGCAGAAGGGCAAGGTCAGCCATGAGACGCTTGCATGTCGTCCGTTGATTTTATGGTTGATTCATCCCTTCTCATAAACGAATGATGTTCCACACTCCGCGTTGCATGTGCATGAGGGTCGGGATGAGTGTTTTTAGACTGCGCTCGTACTTGGCCACGGTGAATTGACATTTTGCCTGGGTTGTTCCAAATCAATCCTTAAGCGTGACGCCAGTTGGATTGCTGGCTGTCCTTGGTTGTACTGTCCCACTACGGTTCGGGGGTTTACAAACTAGGATTCTGGATCCCACCTATTCTAAGCAACCCAGCTTGCGCGGTGCAGGAAAGCAGGCCAAGACGCTAGAGATGCCGCCTGGCGCGCAACGCTGAAGTTCGGAGTCTCATGTTGACTCCCTTGCAGCTTTGCTCACTGACAGTGTCAGACAGCCACCCCCGCACCCCACCCACCCAAAACAGAAAGCAAGAAACGACGAGAAAGAGGCCCGTTTGCTCAGCCCCACGTTGCCAATCTTGGGTCCAGGGCTTAGCTTTCCGGGCGGTACCCGCTTGCGAGTTCTGCTCCTTAGCCGTGCGGCATCTGAAAAGACCCGGAGCGCCGAGTTTCATAGCCATGGAACGTCCCGCTTTCACGTTGGCTTGCGACCGCCCCGGCGCTTAGTTTAGTTTTGGAGCGGGTCGTTTGCTGACCGCTGCCAGTCGAAGCTTCACGGAAACAAAGCCTGTAGTAGGGTGAGCTGGGGTAGAACGCTCCTCGGGGGTCCCCTCATGTTAGTTTTCATTCCAAGCATCATACATATTGTGGATGGGGAGAGCTCCAAGATTGGCTTGGTCCTTTTCGGGCCGCTTTCATTTTGTTTCAGATCCACCATGTTGCCAACCCCCGGCCGAAATGTGGCTGGCTTCTCACCCAGCAAAAGGGCGAACGCTGAATTCACCCAACCGCACGCCAGGCCAGCGGCTATTGGCATTTGGCACGCGTCTCGATTCAGCGCGCGACATGTCTTTGTTAATGAGGAACACCCTCCCGTGGAGGACACAAATCCCGATGTAACTGATGTCCACCAAGGGGCTCCCAATCGCGGGGCGCGAAATATCAAGGGAGGGGGATTGGATTTGAGGTGAGTTGAATGTCGACCCAGAATCAAATTCAGACGTGGCTTTAAGGACCCGCGTTCCGGAAGCTGCGAAGCGGATGGTGCCTGTGCCGCCGCCCATGCCTCCTGGAGGTGCGGAGAAGGTTCATCCATCGCAACTGGATGGATTTTAGGCCCATCCAGGTCCTGGCAAGGGGGCATCAACTAGGCGGGAGTACAGCCATTCTCACCGAAACACGCTGCTGAGGGCTTGGCAAGTTTAGATTGGGTGGTTCCAAGCGGGTTTGGATGGGCAGTGTTGCTTGCATTCGTTGATGTTCTTCGCCAGGGCAGAACTTGGTAGCTTTCCTCTTGTCCTCTTGTTGCAGGCGCCAGGCTTTGCCACGAAACAAAGGGTCGCGATGGAATATGGTGGGAATGAGGGTCGTCTCAGCACAAGGCAGGTTTTGCAAGGAACCAGCTTCAGGGATGCTCCAAAATTCCTTGTGATGGCAAAGCAAGTTACTTCCCTCGCTTCCCAAGTGGCCTTCAGCAGGATATCCACCAACTGCGCTCGATCGCCGCTCCCAGCGGGGGCCTCTTTGAAATGTGGGAAAGCTGAATTGACAGATCACTCCGCGGGCTCTCCTCAAACAAATCCACAAGAGACCACGGGATGCCTAAAATGGTGGTTGTCCTCTTTGTTCCTTTTAAATCATCCTGAGGGGGGGGGTACCATTTTAGCCAACCAACTCCAACAGGCCCGAAAGGGAGCTTTTTTTTGGATGCCTGCAAAGGCAAATCCAAAGGTACCAT